GGAGAGGAGTATCCCCTTTCAGAAATGACTTGTTGCACCATTTCGATCTGTGCAAAGGTACTGAGCCAAGAAGTTTTTTATAGATGCTGGATATTGCCTCATACCTCCTGGTTGATCCACTGCTGGCTCTTTTGTCCGACTTAATTGTTTCAAAGGTCAACGCTAGCACACTGGTATATGCATATCATAAAGCAGGTATCTTTTAAATGTAAAAAAAATCTGAAATTTTTGATTTCAAAAGTTTAAGTATCCTCCGTGTACACTGCATATGAGAGGTGGAGACATTCGAAATTATTTTGAGGGTAGCAAGTAATAACAGCAACCCTGTTGATTTTTCATATTTATTTGGAAAAAGTTTTGAGTTATGATTCAGACGCCGAAGTACGGGGCAAAAATGCTGGAGACTCTTGCCGCAAGGGAACTTCAAAAAAGAGCTCTCCAGAAAAAAGCAGAAGTTAACTGCATTCTGGAATTCAGTTGGGTCACTGCTGGGAATTTATCCTTAATGGAACACATACTAAGCCAATTTTTCCAGAATATCGTTACGTACCACTGGCTGAAAAGCTATGGAAGATAATTGTGCAGGAATATGATCGTTTGGTGCAAAATAATACATACCTCATGTTAGTTCATTTTATTTACATTATTAGCTCATTTCGGTGAGCTTTCATCGCATTGCAGTATTTGTTCGTGCGCTTAACAGTCCCGGCACTCTCTTCATAATTGTGACCAAAGCTGCGTCATCTGACGGTCAGCCTCTTTACGAATTTGGCATTTATTTTCTTGCATTTTTCCTTTCTTTCTTTCAGAAAAATTACTTCCTTAATTTCGGAAATAGCTGGATAAAAATTTGCATGTTAGTAAAAAATGTTATTATGCGCAGAAAAAGCGCTGACTGTGACGGAGAAGCACTGGAACGAAGGATGACTGGAGCGTCTCTTCCTCTCTTTGTAAGCAGTCAAACCCTCCGTCAAATTTGCTGTCGCCTTTTCTGTCTACGAAATTAGAAGTCGATGAGCAGGGCAGGTTGCCCACCTTGTTGGGTACCGGTGGAAGGACGAAACTCGCATTTAACAACTCGGGCGCCCTTCGAAGAAGTGGCACACATACGTGGAACAAGAGACTGGTGCTGGATGGAGGCATGTAGCCCAGGATCGAAAGTTATGACACAGCTACGCAGAATCGTAGGGTATGGCACTGCATGCGTGAACATCATGTCGACTTCACTAACAGGGAGAGCCACACCGCTGGCTTGGGATATCTTGGTATGTACAGAGGGTTACTAATGAATGCAAAATTATTTAGGCTGACTGAAACAGAAATATTAAGATTATTACGAGATGAGCATTTAAATATCGATAAACAATATGAGGTGGAAATGGTTCGACAATGGATTGCGGTTAGATCTCTTTGCTGTAGCAAGCAAATATCATGATTATCTATGAAGGTAAGTGAAAACCCACAAATTCCTGAAGCTAGGGATTGGCCTATAAATGTAGTAAATTGGGAAAAGAAGACGCGAAGAAGGAGGAAAGGACAAGAAGAGAAGAAAAAGGCAAATTTTATTTTCATCCTGAAGCTTCCATCTGCAAGATGGCTATGTGGACACAGCGTAAGCCTTTGTACTTATATTGCGAAGAAGATAACGTCATGTTGTTCACAGTAAAAGTATAAAATCGCAGCAAAATTTTGTTTCGTCCGTAGTGAGCAGCCGAAAACAGCGAGAAGGATAACTTCAATGTGGCTGAAAATGGTGAAGGGCGCTTCTCTCGACCTTTTCCTCCCATCTTTTCGCGCGTACTGCTACACAAAACTGCACTATACTGTGCAAAATGCAGGAAAGTACTCATTTTTATGTTAAGGCAAATGAAAATGGTGACGGAAGTGTGGCCAAATTACGTGAAGAGCTGCTTGACGTAGACGAGTTAGCAGGCTTCAGCAAGGATGCACGTTTGCCCAATTCAATTCTGATTGCTAGTGGTACTGCTTTCTACAGGAAACAAGTTTTTTTCTACATTTAAATGTCTAATAGCGCAATTACTGTGAAAAAAAAAATGGTAAATTCATCCTAAAATTAGCGAAAAGCGATGGAACAGCGTCAATTTCGATTTTCAAATTTTTTTTTTTGATTTTCAAACGCCAGTCCGGACGCAGTTTTGCAAACGAAGACGTACGTAACTGCTTTGATTTGTGAAAATATCTTGGTAACGTCGGCTTTGAATTTTCAAATCCGCTAAAGATATCTCGGTATATTCTGGTTTCTTCTCGCAGTTAAATTAGCTAGCAATTTCTCCACTCTTTTGTTTTTTGGTATTAGTTTGCAGCCTACATATTTCCAAAATGGGTTCTGCCACGTTGCCAGCCTTCTTTGTGTTCTTTTAACATGGAGTGGATAGCACTCAATAATCCGCTTTATCCATCTGTTCCCTCTCATTTTTTCCACATTTCCACATGACCAGCCCAACTTATCTTTTTTTGACGCATGTCATCTGTGAATTCTGATAATTTTACGAATTAGAAACAAAAACTTTTATAGGTGGTTGGTCAAATACCGGCCCGACAGCGCTTGTAGAGGCGTTTGATTCTCGTACACAGCAGTGGGTTCGCTCAAAGCTGAAGTTATTCGAGACTCCGCGTGCGTATCATGCTGTCATCAATACACATGGATATTTATACACCATTGGCGGTTTTAACGGTGATGAATATTACCGTACAACGAGGAAATTCAGCATGAACAGTAGAGTTAGTCCATGTCTTTCTTCAGCTGCTTTGGGAACATATATTGCTTTTGCTGACTATCGTGATACCCGGTGAATAATACTTGAAAAATCGTATCACTGAGCCATCACTTCAGCATTCGCCAGCCGGCATCAAGGCAAAGCGACAGCTCCCTTCTATCGCACAAAAAAAGACACATTAAGTCGATATACAAGCGTAACGTCAAAATACCCTTTGTACTCACTTTCTTGATTACCGACGGAAGCACTCGAAATCAGCCCAGGTAGCAGCAGTTGCAAGGAGCAACCAATCGCTGGCCCATCTGTCGATGGCTTCTTCATTTTAGCTCAAACTAAGGAACTGTTAAGTTCTTTAATTGTGCAGAAGTGTGAGGAGGTGGCGCCGATGTACGATCAGCGATGTTACCTTGCGTGCACTTTGCTCGATCCCGACCAGATAATTGCAGTTGGCGGTTATAATAATATGGACAGATTGAAATCCGCGGAAATTTTCCATTTACCGACAAATCAGTGGCGTAAAATTGCCAAAATGAGCTTCAAAAGGTTTGGTTTAGAAGCAACTGAATGGCATTATACTTTGATGGGTGATGAGTTTGAACTGATTTCTTATCAACTTATTAATCAGTTTTTAGTCAGTCACATAATTACTGAATAAACGAGTGAAACAAATAATTGATTTTAATGAAGTAATGGGACGAGATTTATGAATAAATGAATGAATGAACACTTTGCAACGGCATAGCACAATGAGTCCGCAGTTTTCCTCCACGTGCTTCTTCTGGAGACATTTTTATAAAAGATCTGCCTACTTCCACTGAAACTCCAAACTGCTCTGATATTTTGTCCAATTGAATTTATAGTCCGGTGTTCCAAGTATACGCTAGTGCCGCATAGCCTGACCAGCTTGCTTGAGATTGTAACTTTCGTTTCATCCCCTGAAGAAAATATCAGCCCATTGATTTATTCAAGGGAAGCACTTGGCAAGGCTTTAGCTCTTTCAGAATGTTAATTATGTATGTTGTACATCATTACCTCGTACTCGGTCTTGCCAGGGAACTTCTAAATATGCTCTTCTGAACGTTCATTGTGGCATATTGCAGAAGTGACGGTCACTGCGTAGAACTGAATGGTTTTGTATACGCTGTTGGTGGATTCGATGGGATGAACTGTCACGAAAGTGTGGAATACTACGATCCACACGGCAACCGCTGGTTTACAATGGGCAGTGATATGTCAAGCCGAGTGGGACTTTCCCTCGTATTATCTCCCTCCCGTTTTTTACTTCCTTAAATCTTGCCATACTTTTTGAGAACAATTTTCCAATTTCAAATCATATTTCTTTGCTTTAAATTCGTTCTTTCCACTGATACAAGCGACAACTTTTCCATTCTTCTCTATTCTGGACTTCTCTCAGCTACATAATTCCATACAGATGTTCGAGTGGACCCTTCCATCTCTATGGCTGTCTTCCTGTGTTCACTCAGTATTGCGTGGGTACCACTGAAACAACTGTTTTGTTGTCTGTTACCTCCTAATAAAATTGTTATTTGTTATTTTTTTGGATGCTTTCATGATATTCTGATGTGTTTGCAGCGTTCCGGCGTCAGGGTTACTAAGCTACATGGAGTAATGGTGGTTTGTGGAGGTTTTGATGGTACCAATCGTTTGAAAACATGTGAATTCATCGATTCTAGGGAAGGAAGGTGGCACACTATTTCTCCAATGAATCGCACACGGTCTGTTAATCCCAAACATACAGAAGTATGCATATTCCAGAGTGCAAAATTAAGAAAGCGCAACACCACCGGTCATCTGATTTCAAGCAGCTGACCACTGTTAATAGTCAG